GAGTGAGACTGTCTCAAAACAAAAACAAAAACAAAAACACCTAATTACTTAAACCCCTTAGTATTGTTTAGACTTTTCTACCTTTTTTAAATCTTAGCGGAAACTTACAGAAACTGCTCTTATGGTGAAAAAAAATTATCTGATTAAATCCAGTTATTCTTTTAGTTTGTGTTAAGTCACTTAAGGGTTTTACAATTAAATATAATATGAATATTTTAAATATTTGTTTAATTAAAAAAATTTAGGAAAGTTTATAGAAAAGTTGCAAAAATAGTACAAAGAACTTTTGCTTCCTGAACCACTGGAGAGTAATTTGCCAACATAATACTTTATAATTTCAAGACATTTTCCTGCAATCACAACGCAATCATCAAAATTAGGAAATTAACATTGACACAATACTTCCATCTAATCCACAGAACCCACTCAAGTTTCATCAGTTGTTTCAAAGATGCCCTTAACAGCAAAGGACCCAGTCCAGAATCACTTGTTATATTATCATCTCTTTAGACTCGGTCAACCTAGAAGTTTCTCAGTCTTTCCTTCACTTTCACATTTGGAGATTTTGAAGATCAAAGGCCAGTTATCTTGCAGAATGTCCTCCAGTTTTCCTGAGGCTTCCTCATGACCGGATACGGATTACACATCTTTAGCAAAAATACAACAGAAGTGACACTAATGTTCTTCTCATTGTAGTCTATCAGATGATACACAATTTCCATTACCCAATACTGGAGCAAGGTGCACGTGCCAGGTTTCTCCACGGTAAAACTACCCCTTTTACTTTTACAATTAATAATTATGTTGTTGGGGAGGTTCTTTTTAGCCCTATAAATAACTTCTCATCAAACTTTCACCAATCTGTTTCAGCACCTGTGGTAGGCTGAATAACGACACCCCTGCAAAAAAGATATCCATATCCTAATCCCTGTAACTTGTGAATGTTACCTTATATGGCAAAAAGATGCTCTGCATAAGTGATTAAACTGGGACCGAAATGGGGAGATTATCCTACATGGGCCATAAATGCAATCACATATATCCTTATAAGAGAGAAGCTGAGGCAGATTTGACAGACACAGAGAAGGCAACGTGACCATGGAGGCAGAGATAAGTACAATGCAGCCATAAACCAAGGAATGGCAGCAGCTAAGAGAGGCTGTAAGAAGCAATTTTCCTATAGAGCTTCCAGACAGGGGCACAACCCTGCTGACACCATGATTTCAGCCCAGTAAAACTAGTTTCAACTTCTGGCCTCTAAAGATAAAAAATTTCTGCTGTTTTAAACCACCAACTTCAGGCCAGGCACAGTCTACACGGGAGGCCGAGGTGAGAGGATCGCTTGAGCCCAGGGGTTTGAGGTTGCAGTGAGCTACAATGACACCACCCCTGCACTATACCCGCGGCAACAGAGCAAGATTCAGTCTCAAAAAACAAAAGTTATACTTGGATTTTCAAATGCACAGGGGGTCAGCGCACTTAACCCCCATGTGGTTCAACGGTCAACTGTATTCAATTTTAAGTACAAGAAGAAGAAAAACAAGAAAAATAAAGGGATCAACTGTATTTATTTATTAGATCATTTCCCCCCATATGTATCCAATCTCCTGTCAGCACCCTGACTACTGCATGCATGGACTCCCTCCCCACAATGCTCAGGCACCTTCACTCCACTGCAAACACCCTCCTCTCCTCGCTTGGGTTCTAACACCTCATGCTCACCTGCTGCCATTCCCTGCACAGACACCCTCCTCACCTCACGTGGGCTCTGACACCTAAGATGGGTTCCAGGCCATCACCACCACTACCTTTTCCCCTGGTGGACACCTACTTTGCTTGGCCTCACCTAGTGGTTTTTGGACTGAATTATTCAGGAAGAAAGCAAGCAAAAACAGTACTTATATTATCATGTACTATCAAAATTATTCCTATCCACTGATCATTTATAAATATGCATGGAGAGATATCTGGAATCATGGTCAATAAATAATATTGGTTATTTCTGGGTATGAATTTTGGACAATTTTATTCCTTCTAATTTTTTTGGTATTATTTGAAATGATTATACTATGTATCATTTTAATTAAAATAATATTCTCTAAAAAAATTGAATGTACATGTAAAAATAGAGTACAGATATAGTCAAAGAAACACTGGCAACAATGTTAAAATAGTTAAATACTACATACAATTTAAATATTAATTAAATTACATTAAAAAATAAAATAAATTAGGGTAAATCCACACAATGGCATACTAAGTAATATATGACAGACACATATATGTAGTGACATGTAAAAATGATCACTATAAAGCTAAAAAGGGATATTATAAAACCTTATTTATTATGAAGCAGTTCTTCTTAAAGAAAACATGTATTTATAAATATTTATATTCACAGAAAAAATCTGGAAGGAAATTGGTACAACAAAATGTTAACCTAGTAGGATTATAGTTATTTTTCTCTTTATGTGAGTTTTGTAGTTTATGTATATAATATTGTGCAATAAAAGTTTTAAACTAATTTGTTTCTTTTTTTTTTAAAGACAAGGTCTCACTCTGTCACCCAGCTTGGACTGCAGGCGGTACAATTACAGCTCACTAGCCTCAACCTTCTAAGCTCTAGAGATGCTTCCGCCTGAGCCTCCAAAGTAGCTGGAACTACAACCATGCACCACCACGTCTGGCTAATTTTTATTTTTCACAGAGATGAAGTCTTGCTATGTTGTCCAGGCTGGTCTCAAACTCCTGGCCTCAGGGATCCTCCTGCCTCAGCCTCCCAAAGTGCTAGAATTATAGGTGTGAGCCACCAAGCCAGCCCAGTTCAACATATTTAATTGAGAGTCAAATATACACATTTTCAGATTATAGAAATTTTTGCCATTCCGGACTCTCCCTGTAAGAGCTGTTAAAAGATGTATTTTAGGAAAATGAAATTGAACCAAGAAGGAAGAAGTATGATTAAAGAGGCAAAAGTGAGCTAACAAACTATGGGTAAACAAACCACTTACCATACAACTGAATAAACTAATTGGAGCAAATAAAAACAAAGGTGAAATACGAGATCATTTTGAGATCTTTGTTTTATTTACAAGGATTTAAAAATATTGATCTATTTTAGATATTTGCTAACTCAAGTATGGAGTTTCTTTTTTAAGAATTATAGGCCAGGGATGGTGGCGCACACCTATAATCCCAGCACTTTGGGAAGCTGAGGCAGGAGGCTTGCTTGAGCCTAGGAGTTTGAGACCAGCCTGGGCAATGTAGCAAGACCCTATTCTAAAAAAATAATTTTTAAAAAATTAGATGGATAGCCAGGTGCTGTGGCTCATGCCTGTAATCCTAGCACTCCGGGAGATCAAGATGGGAAGACTGCTTGAGCCCAGGAGTTTGAGACCAGCCTAAGCAAGAGTGAGACTTTGTCTCTATTAAAAATAGAAAAATTAGCCGGCATGGTGGTATACCTGTAGTCCTAGCTACTCGGGAGGCTGAGGCAAGAGGATCGCTTGAGCCCAGGAGTTAGAGGTTACAGTGAGCTATGATGACATTACTGCACTCTAGCTGAGGCAACAGAGAAAGACTCTGTCTAAAAAAGAAAAAAAAAAAAATGGCTGGGTATGGTAGCATGCTCTATTGTCCTATCTGGGAGGCTGAGGCAGGAGGATCGCTTGAGCCCAGGAGTTCAAGGTTTCAGTGAGCTATGATCATGTCACTGCACTACAGCCTAGATGACAGAGCAAAACTGTCTCTACCAAAAAAAAAAGAGAGAATCACCAGGAAGACAGAAATAGAATGTGTAACTTCCAAATCAGTAGGAGAAAAAAACAGTACAATGAAAGACAGGAAAAGAGAAAAAAGAAAGCAAGAATACAGTAAAACCACAAAATTAAGAAAAAAGAATAATAAATTAAGCAGCATAAAATGACCAATTAAATCTCAAATTGAATTTTCTAACTATATAGTGTTTATAAAAGACATCTACAGTTAATTTCAAAAAGGCTAAAAGTTAAAAAAAGGATAAAAATATACCAAAAAATATAAACGGAAAAAGCTGTTTGGAAATGTACAGATAATGATGTAACATACATTGATATAGCCTTATTAATATGGGAACACTTGCCATATTTGCTTCTTGTGTTTTGGTTGTGTTTCGTAATTGAAAATAAAAACTTCAGAGGCCAGGTGTGATGGCTCATGCCTATAATCCCAGTGCTTTGGGAGGCCAAGGCAAGAAAATCGCTTGAGCCCAGGAATTCAAGACCAGCCTGAGCAACATGGTGAGACCTCATCACTACAAAAAAAATAAATAAATTAGCTGGGCATGGTAGCGCCTGCGTGTAGTCCTAGCTACTCAGGAAGCTTAGGTGGGAGTATCACTTGAGCCCAGGAGTTCAAGATTGCAGTGAGTTATAGGGCTACCACAGCACTCTAGCCTGGGCAACAGAGTGAGACCCTATCTCTAAAAAAAAAAAAAAAAAAAAAAAAAGCTCTCCCTAACAAAATAAGTCATTTTTTAGCAGTGGGAATAACAGTCTGTTCACTATGGTATCTCTAGCATTTAGCATCTTGTAGGTGCTGAATATATTCTACATTGGCTAAATACAGTGTTTACTATGAAAACGATTCAAGATTGTTAAAAAAAAAAAAAAAGGGCAGGGCAACATACATAATTAACTATACATTTTTTGCTGTAATAAGTAACCTCTTTTAATGAAAAGATACTTTAGGAGGGAATCCTAAAAATAGTGCTGCTAAAGAAATAAGAAATAAGAAGAGTTCTGCATTCTGCTTTAATTTTCTGGTCTGAAATTTCCAATTAGTTTCCGTATTTCTCTTCCTTTGGTGCCATGTTTTAGCCACCTGAGTTCCGAACTGGATAGCTGTAATTCTCATTGTGTTTTTTTAAATCCCTAATTGAATTTGGGCATCCAATGCACTTCTCTGTTCAAAAATTAGTTCCCATTCTACATCATGATAAAACAGGAAAACAAACCACATACCTTCCATCTTTCAGAGTGTTAACAATAAATCGGTTAATCTGGCAAATACAGTTGCTGGACAATTGTTCTTGCTCAACAAGAGGGTTCAACTGTGTTGCCAACATGAAAGCTGAAAAGCACAGAGATTACTTTAGCCTCCAAAACATTTGAGTCTTAAGAATCTGAAAGCTAATCACACCTGTGCTAACAAAGAAAAATAATGCCTTAAATATGTTCCTGAAATTAAACTAGTCAGAATCTTCATGGTGAAAAACCGTATAATTTGCTGCATGTTAAACATCTGCTGCTACTCTTAAATGTACATATTTGTTCAAGTGCCCCAAATCATTTTTTCCATCATTCGTGTTTCATGACAAAGTTAAAAAATCTTTTCTAGGTCCTTCACATTGTAACTAGAGAAAGCAAGAACATATTCTTAAATTCTCTTCTTTCTCCCTTTTAAAGCTTCCAACACAGAAATAAAACCCCAAAGAAGGCAAGTATAGGACAGCTAACCCATCATATTCAATGGGTCAATATCATCCTCGGGGAAATTAATCAAAGAAAATATAGAGCACTCGTTCAAAAAAATTAATTAAGGCAGGTGGCAGCTTTCCACTGTATCAGTCTATCGTTAGAATGCTCTCTGACAGCTGCAATTCTGTCCAAATGAAACACATAACCAAGCAAATGTGCACTTCAGGAATGCCCCAAATTACTGCAATGAAAGTGTTGGGTGTGCTTTTATTATTTAAGTACTCACAAATTCTTAGATTTATACCCCATACTCACAGGATAAAGTGTTCAATCCATCACTCATAAGTAGTCGATAGCGGGGTGGACTATTCCCTGTGGTAATGGGACGAATGTTCTAGGATAAAAAACTTGATTCATTAGCCAGGTTATCCACCCAGCCCCAAGAATAAGTAAACCTAAGTGGCAGGAGAGTGGGTTTGCCATGAGTTCAACACAAACTGAACTGCTAGCCCATTTTTTTTTTTTTTTTTTTTTTTGAGACAGAGTCTCACTCTGTTGCCCTGCTAGAGTGAGTGCCATGGCGTAGCCTAGCTCACAGCAACCTCAAACTCCTGGGCTCAAGCGATCCTCCTGCCTCAGCCTCCCGAGTAGCTGGGACTACAGGCATGCGCCACCATGCCCGGCTAATTTTTTCTATGTATTTTTAGTTGTCCAGATAATTTCTTTCTATTTTTTTTAGTAAAGACGGGGTCTCACTCTTGCTCAGGCTGGTCTCGAACTCCTGAGCTCAAACAATCCGCCCGCCTCGGCCTCCCAGAGTGCTAGGATTACAGGCGTGAGCCACCGCGCCCGGCCTTGCCCATTCTCTTGACACCTAAATCCAAGTAAAAGAAAACTGGAGTTGACGATTCTCCCACCAACCTCTCCACCAACATGTAGAGGAAAAGGAAATAAGCTGCCAATACTTTTGTGTTCTCTCGCCCCTAACTCAACTTTGGCTGAAAATCAATTAACAACAACAAAAAAAACATGCAACACTGCACCTAATGCATGCAAAGTATAGTGTAGGAAATATGCTAAAAATACAAAATGAAAGAATCCTTGCCCTCTAGGGGCTTACAATTGGGGTGTAGATGGAGGGAGAGACATAAGTGACATGGGCACATAATGATATGGGGACAGAGTCAAGGCATTTATCCCAACTTGAAGGAAATTAGAGGCAGCTTTTCTAAAGAAGTGAAATCCAGACATAGAGCCTTAAGCTGACGGGCAGCCAGTATAGGAGCAGCAGGGAAAACCATCAGATCTACTGACACAAAACCTGCAGGTGTGATCTAGAATTCTGCTCCTATTGATTTTTGGAATTCCCACTAGTTTGAGGACCCCTTAAATGAATGATGTATTAATTGAAGAATTTTAAACAGACAACTTCATTTTAGATACATCTCTCTGGAGGACATCCATAAGGCAGATCTGAGCGAGACAAACCCAAGACTAAGAAGGCAAGTAAGGAAGCAGTTGTAATGACACATGGCACTGGAGTCATCTATCAACTGTGGAAAAGAACACAGAGGCAAAGCCTTAAATCTGAATCTCCAAAAGGTAAAACCTAAGCTAACATAATATTTAAAAATAAAAAAAGGCCTGGCTCCTCTCTTGGGGTTATAGTGTGGACTGGCTATTTTTGGTAATGATGGGGAAAATTTTCTAAAGTGAACAAATCAGTCTGTCCTTTATCAAATATAATTTATAATTACATATGAGTCTAAAAAATATTTGACATAAAACATATGTAGGTACTTACAATGACTTGGAGGATGGGTTTTATGGATGTATCTCCTTGTTGCATTATGGCCTAAAAGAGTAAAAACAAATTCTTGTGAGACATGCTCTCAAATTGTGATTAAAATTTTACATGTTTTTACAGTTTGGTATTTGGAATAAACTACAGATAACATTGTCAAAAGGGCCTATTAAGAGCCTGTCATTTGAAAAGTCTAGTTTATCACTCTGGAAAAATCATAAAACCATACATACTTACCAACAAGAATATATTTACTACATCTAAACACTGGTATTATATATGTACTCACTATTCATAAGAGCACACTAATTTTCCTACAGTGTCGATTAACAGGGAATTGGATAAATAAATGCTACATATATTAAAAAGATAATAAGGGAACATTAGGGACTTTATGAAACAACTTAGATAAAATGGATAAATCCCTCAAAAAACACAAATTATCAAAATAGACACAAAAAGCAAAAAAATCTATATAGCCCTATATCTATTAAAGAAATTGAATCTGTAGACTGGGTGTGGTGGCTCGCATCTGTAATCCTAGAACTTTGGGAGATGGGCTGGGAAGATCACTTGAGGCCAGGAGTTCCAGACCAGCCTGGGCAACATAGCGAGACTCCGTGTCTACAAAAAAAAAAAAAAAATAGAAAAATAGCTGGGTGTGGCAGTACAGTGGCATATGCCTGTAGGCCAAGCTACTGAGGCAAGAGGATCAACTGAACCCAGGAGTTTGAGGCTACAGTGAGCTATGATCACACTACTGCAATCCAGCCTGGACAAGAGTGAGACCCTGTCCCAAAAAATAAATAAATAAATAAATGAAATAAATGAATAAATAAATGAAAAGGCAAGCCACAGATTGGACAAAATATATGTAATGTTTGTATTTTAAAAAAGACATATCCAGGAAGGCTGAGGCGGCAGGATTGCTTGAGGCCAGGAGTTTGAGACCAGCCAGAGCAAGAGTAACACTCTACAAAAAAAAAAATAAAACTAGAAAAATTAGCCGGGCATGGTGGTGTGCACCAGTAGACCCAGCTACTCAAGAGGTCAAGGCACAAGGATGGCTTGAACCCAGGTTTGAGGTTATTGTAAGCTATGATAATGCCACTGCACTCTAGCCCAGACGACAGAGTGAGACTGTCTCAAAAAAACAAAACAAAGCCAAAAAAACCACATATCCAGAATAAGGAATTCTTATATCTCATTAGTAAGAACATAACTCAAGTTTTTAAATGGACAAAAGGTCTGAACAGACACTTCACAGAAGAAGATATACAAATGGCCAATAAGTACATGAAAAGATGCCTAAGATCATGAGTCACCAGGAAAATATAAATTAAAACCACAGTGAGATACCTTACACAATCACTAAAATAGTCAAAATGAAAAAGACTGATGAAGGCTGGGTGTGGTGGCTCACTACGTGGGAGAATCACTTGAGCCCAGGAATTGGAGACCAGCCTGAGCAATAGTGAGACTCCATCTCTACAAAAAATTTTTAAAAATTAGCTGGGCATGCACGCCTGTAGTCCTAGCTACTCAGGAGACTGAGGCAGGAGGATTGCTTGAGCCCAGGAGGCCGAGGTTACAGTGAGCTATGATTGCACCATCACTGCACACTCCAACCTGGGCAGCCCTGTCTCTAAAAAAAAAAAAAAAGAAAGAAAAAGACCATAAAGACTGATGATACTAAGTATTGGCAAGGATATGGAGCAACTAGAACTCTCATAATCACTCTGGAAAACAGTTTGCCAATATCTTAGAAAGTTAAACATTCAGATACCATATGATCCAGCAACTGCTCTCCTAGATATTTATCCCAGAAGAATGAAAACATTATTTCCATAAAAAGATTTATACATAAATGTTCACAGCATTTCCACTAATAGCCAAGAAATGAAAATAACCTGAACGTCCAATAAATGAATTGTGTTATAATCATACAAAAGAATACTACTCAGCAACAAAAAGGTGCAAACTACTGAAACATGGATAAATCTCAAATACCATTTTGCTGAATTAAAAGAAGCCACACACAAAAGGGTATATATTATTTGACTCCATTTATATGAAGTTTTAGAACAGTCAAAGCTAACCTACAGTGATAGAAACCAGAACAGTGGTTGCCTAGGCTAAGTACACTAAGTACGGGGGCGGAGGAGGGGGATCAGGAGGAAAATTATGTGGGTTGATGCAAATGTTCTATATCTTGACTGCAGTGATGTGATTACAGGGGTGCATACATTTGTAAAAATTCATCAAATTGTACTCCTAAAAAAGGTGTATTTTGTTATGTGTAAAAGGAACATCAATGAAGGTGATTTAAAAAAAAAAAAACAGTTCTTTCTTGGGAACAGAACTAGGCAAGGTAGGCCAGAAGGTCACTAATTACATTAAACACCTTTCTGTTCTATTTGATTTTAAAACCACATGCATGTATCACTCTACTAATCTTTTTAATTTAAAATGTTTCATCATAAATATTAATTGTAAGATTAATATTTTCTTGGATATATAGCATGACATACACAATCAAGATAAAGTTGCCTTAAATTTTCCAAATTAACATTACTAATAAAAATACAAGGCGACAGAATATACTAGTCAAGGGCACACACATGCATTCAAATCTTCACCTCAGGGACAAATTATTTAACCTCTCTGCACTTTAATTTCTTAACCTGTGAAGTGGGGGTAATGATAAAAATCTTCATTATAGGGTTACTTAAATACTATTATAAAGTTATCAGTCACATTGGAAATGGTCAAAAGTATTAGTTCCTTTCCCTTCCCTTCCCCTTTCTTTCTATAATCCAACTACTTAGGATACAAATGCTATTTATTCAATTTACCACAATCGTTCCATGCATAATCTTATTTTACGATGTTAGATCTTGTGCAAAACACCTCCACTATTTGTGTAGTATTTGCTTATCCTTTGGGGTCTCTGTCCTTTGAACTATTAATAAAATGATACTTCTCTACACTCACTCCATTACCACAAACATGAAAATGAAAATTTCCTTTTTCGTTTATGAACAAAACCCAAGTAATACTTCACTTACACTGGAAATAGGAGTCTAAAATTTTGGAAATAGGGAAAACTGACTTATAAAATTATTTAAATAACTCCAAGATCTTTTTTGTTTGTTTGTTTGTTTGGGTTTTTTTGGAGACAGGGTCTCGCTCTGTCACCCAGGCTAAATGCAGTGGCTTATCATAGCTCACTGAAACCTCAAACTCCTGCCTTGGCCTTCCTAGTAGCTGGGACTTCATGCACTTGCCACCACGTCCAACTAACTTTTTTATTTTTTTGTAGAGTCGGGGCCTAGCTATTGCCAAGGCTGGTTTCAAACACCTGGCCTCAAGTGATCCTCCCAGCACAGCCGGGCAGAGTGCTAGGATTACAGGCGTGAGCTACAGCGCCCAGCCCATGATCATTCTTTTTTAAAGTGAAGAACCATTCCTAATTTGGTTTCAAGGTGCAAGGCAGCAGCTATGAGGACTACAATTTGCAATCACTTCCCAGGTTTCAGCATTTATACATTTCTAATTTATTTAAATATTCACTTGGCTCCAACAATGGCTCTTCTTCAGCCCCTTCCTGTTTTGTCTGGTGCCAAGTTGCCTTTCTTCCCCATCCACCTTTTCCTTTCTTTCCACTGCCTCATTCATTCATGCAACTAGCAAACGTTTATTTGCCAACACTGCTCCAGGTAGTGGTGATTCTATGCTGAGCAAAGAAAAAAACCCACACAAGATTGAGGGCCTCATGGAATTTAGGATCTAGTGGGGGAGACAAAAAGTAACTGATATTAATCAAATCAACAACAAATAAATGTAAAATTATGCCTGTAATTATTAACAATAGATAACATATACTGAGCATTTACTATGTATCAAGCAGTGGGCTAAGCACTTTAAGTGTAATAACTCACCTAATCCTCCCACTAACCTTATATAATACATACTAAGTATCATTACCCTCATTTTACAGAAGAAAGCAGAGTTTAGTATCTTGCCCAAAGAAACATCTAGTAAGTGAATGAACAGGAATTAGGGTATCAAAATAAAGGGGCTTAGCCTAGTAAGGGAAGTCTTAGGAAGTAACAAAAGAGCTGAGATTCGAAGATTATCTTAGCCAGTGAGGGGGGGAAGTGAAGAACCACTCAGGCAGCAGAGGGAAAAGAATATTCAAAAGGCCCTGTGGAAGGCAAGAATATGGAAGATACCAGAAATTTAAATTAAAAAAAAAAAGCTGAATAGGAGGAGAGAACAAGTGGGAATATGCTATGATGGGAGTAGTGGGAGGAGTATATGCTGAGTAAATGTGAGATGTGCGTTGTCCAGGCAAGGAATGATGGTGCCAGTGTGAATGGAGAGAAGTAAATGAATTTAAGAGATTCATGTGGATGTAAAACATACTTCGCTTGGTGATGGACTGGACACCCAGAGTCACGGAGAATGTAGGAAGAATGATTTCTCAATTTTTGGCTAGCACAACTTAACAGATAACAGTGCCATTCATCGAGATGGAGAACATCAAGAAGCCAAGACTTGGGAAGATAACGGATTTGCTTTGGGATATGTCGAATTTAAGATGCCTTTGAGACATCATCCAGTAGGCAGGCAGATTATCGAAGTTTGTCCTTTAGAGAAAAGGTGGCTCGGAACAAATAAATTTATGAGCAACTGACATAGATGATAATGAAATTGCCTTGGGAGAGAAGAGACCCTACAGCTGAGCCTCAAGCCAACAAAAATTTACAAAGAGAGCTCTGCAAAGAAGACGGGGAAAGACCAATGAGACTGAGCCACTGAAACCAAAAGAAGAGGGTGTACCCAGAATGAAGCAATGCTCACCAGGCTCAAACGCTGCTGAGAACTCAGGTAAGCCTAAAACTGCAAAGTGTCTGTTGGATTTAGCGACTTGCAGGCCACTGGTAACTTCGAACAGAGTTCTTTCTATAGCGATCGGTGGGATGATTGACTGGAGCAGGTTAAAGAGTTAATGGGAGGTGAGAAAATGAAATAGCTGAAAACGGACAACTCTAGAGAAGTTTGGCTGTGCGTGGGGGAAGGGAAAAGACACAAAGAGTGGCTGCAGGTGGGAGACAGGGTGGGGAGCGAAAGCGTTTATTTTGTTTTGTCTTAAGCAGGAATAACGTGAGCATGTTTAAAATAAGAATCTTTTGAGAAGGTGAAACTAGAGAGAACTCCGGTTTCCCCACCGCCTCCCTCCATCTCTTCCTCTTATGTTCTCTCCCCATCGCCCCGGCTCCCCTCCCCCTTCTCCGCTCCGCATAGCTCCGGGCTCACAGCCACCCTGGCCCGCCGGCCCGGCTCTCAGGTATCTCCTCACCGCAATGGCCCCCTCGCTCAGTTGGCTGACCATGGTTCCGCCGCACCAACTCCCGCGCTCTGGCACCTTGGCAGCCCAACCTTCACTACCGGGGTCCCGCGCGCTGCACAATTATTGGCCGAGCAATTGCACGCGCCACCCACGCCCCTTACGTGCGCGCGGTACAGGGGCGCGCCTAGGAGCTGAGCAGCCGCCGCATTGGCCGAGGCGCGGCGAGCGGCCCACGTGACCTGCACGAGGCGGGGTTCAAGGCCTAGTCACGGGATGGCTGAGTCGGGGGCTGGCGCCTAGCCGAGGAGCGCGCCAAGGCAGAAGCGGATGCGGCTAAGGGCTCCAGCGGCCCAGTTCCGGGAGCCTTCCGAGCGGACTCTGGGAGTATATCCAGCTCGGTCTTTGGCGAATAGACGGATTGGTAACCCAGGCGAGAGTTAGAGAGTTTCCTGCTAAGTCTGCTGCTAAAAGTAGTCAAAGCAGCGACTTGGTTCCGTCAGCAACCCAGTGCTGAAGTCCCGCTGGTGCCAAGCCGTGAGCTTGGTACCGTGGGGGCCTCTAAAGGCAAATAAGACCCGGTCCCCGCCCTCAGAGGAGAGCACAGTCTGTCGAGGGGATTTCTGCTGTAAGTAGCCCTAATTCAAGGTAGACGTGGTACAGGGCCCAAGTCTGCTGGAATCACAAATGGAAAATCAGGGAAGGCTTCTTGGAGGAGGTGCCATTTGAATCAAGTCGAAGAATGTATGGAAATTTGTCAGGTGGACTCCAAATGAGGGTAGGAATGTTCTTGGAGACATGAATAGCCTATACCAAAACACTGAAGAAGTGAAATAACCTGGCAAGCTGAGGATAGCAGTGAGTAAATCAATACATTAGGATACAGAGGAAGAAGTGGGACTTGAGAATTAGAAAGTAAGCCAAGAGTCAAATAAGGACGGATTTGTACTGGGCTTCCCTATATGCTAGCAGAAATATTGATGAATTTAAGGCAGAGGACTGACATCTGTCGAAATGTCAGATGGATTGAAAGAAGAGGGGGTAGTGAGGCTGGGTGCGGTGACTGTCATCCCCCCAGCACTTTGGGAGTGGGTGGCAGGAGGATCACCTGAGGCCAGGAGTTCAAGACCGGCTGGAGCAACATAGAGAGACCCTGTCTCTACAAAAAATATAAAAAATTAGCTCGGGGTGGGGGTGTGCGCACCTGTAGTCCCAGCTACTAGGGTGGCTGAGACAGGAGCATCGCTTGAGCCCAGGAGTTTCATGTTGCAGTGAGCTATGATACGCCACTGTACTCTATCCCATGCAACAGAGTGAGACCCTGTTTCAAAAAAAAAAGAAAGAAAGAAAGGAGGGAGTGGGGCTGAGGGCATGAAGACTAGTTAAGACACTCTGGAAAGAATGCCAGGCAGGGTGCAGTGGCTCACACCTGTAATCCCAGCATTTTAGGAGCTGGAGGTGGGAGGATCACTTGAGCCCAGGAGTTCAGACCAGCCTGAACAACAAAGCAACACCCCATCTCTACAAAAAAAAATTTTTTTTTAATTATCCAAGTGTGGTGGTGCATGCCTGTAGTCCTAGCTACTTGGGAAGCTGAGGCAGGGGTATCTCTTGAGCCCAGAGTTTGAAGTTACAGTGAGCTATGATCAGGCCACTACACTCCAGCCTGAGAGACACAGCAGACCCTGTCTCTTAAAAAAAAAAAGAAAAATGGCAGACGAGAGATGGTGAGGGCTTGAACTGAAGGAATGACCTTCAGATTGAAAGAGAACATTGAACTGTGTAAGAATAGAAATATTTGTTAATGTGATAGTTGCTGGGATGAGTGAAAAAGAAAAGTCTGGCATGTCTCGGGTTTCGGATTTGAGCAACTGGAGTAGAGGGAGGTCTAAGAGGACAGCGATGGTGACTTTCTAATTTGATTCATGTTTATATAACCATTACCTAGCATGGTGCCTGGAACAAAGTAGGCTTTCAATAAATATTTCTCAATGAAAGTGACTGGGTGTGAGAGAATACAGATCCTTCCTCAGCATATAAACTACAGAAAAAAACTACAAGAATTGATTTTGTTGCTTCATGTTTGCTTGAATGAAATCTTGATTTTCTAAAATTGTGCATTTGTAGAAATCTGAATTCCTTTTTTCTTGTTCATTTTTATAGATCTAAAGTAGCATGGATCTGCCTGTGGATGAGTGGAAATCATATCTACTTGAGAAGTGGTCTTTACTCCCGACATCCATTCAGCTCACAATTTCTACGGCGGAGACCTTGAGTGATATCTTTCTTCAGTCCTCTTTGCTTCTTCAGTAAGTGAATGGAAGCTTTGACCAGGGATATTTTGATCTGGAGAATGTTCTCTTATATCATTTGCTCTGAAGTAATATCTCTTTTTGATGAAAAATGCCTGAAATGCTGTTCCCTCGTTCCTATCCACTGCAGCATGCCCTGGGATCTAATTAAGTTCTGTTCATCCCTCAGGATTAACTGAAGCTTTCCCTGAGCCTCAGCTGGGTCATCTTCACTTTTTATACATTTACAACACCTGTGTAATTTTCCTTTATATATTTGCATAATCATCTAATTAGTATCTGTCTTCACCACTAGATTGTAAACTTCATGAGAGCAGGGACCATGTCTGTATTTGTTTGTCCTTCTGTAGACAAAAACAGTGCAGTTCAAAAAAATAAGTGTTTAATAAACATTGAATGACAGTTTGGTGATGTATATAAAGTTCTTAGTTCAGCGACTGGGTCATATTAGTGCTCAATATGACATATAAATGAGAGCTATATGCATATATGTGTGTGTGTATGTATATAGATCCACACACACACACACCTGTCGGACTCAAGGTTGACGTCTTTATTTTTGTGCCAGGAACTAGCACAGTGCCTGGCACTTAGTAGACTCTCAGATATTAGTTGATTGAAATGATGAGTTCAGTTTTGAGCCTTGCCAATTCAGGTACTTGGTACAATTAGGCTTGTACTTTTTTTGCTTGTTATTTTTCTTTTTTATAAATGTAAGATACAAAAACATTCTCCTTGTAAAAGATTGAAACAATATTTAATGTAGTAAAACATGAAAGTTTCCTCTTTCCCCTTCTCACTTTCTCTCACACAAGCAACCATAGTTTTAGACCTTTTTAATCCTTTTTATTTATTGTCATACATTTGTATATAAATATGCATGTATCTTTTTCCTTATTCTCTACTAGATTATATTATGTGTATTTTGTAAGATTTTTCCAACATCACTCCTTCATCTTCTTAACAACGACTTGATATTGCTAGTATAATTATGCCACAATTTAGTTATTCTTTTCCCTATTGATGGGAAGTTATTTCCAATTGTTTGGGGGTTTCTTTACTGTTACAAACAATGCTGCAATGAACAATCTTTATATATGTTTTTGAATATACATTTGAGAAATTAAGATTCTTAGACCAGGAACTGCTGCATCGATGGTTATGAGCATTTTAAATTGAATAGATACTGCCAAATTGCCTTCCAAAAAGGCTTTACCAATTTACCATGAACAGTATATGAAAATCACTTTCCCATATCCTCACCAACATTAGAAAGCAATAGTCATTAATTTTGTCAACCTTAAGTACAAAAAAAAGTCATTTTAATTTGCATTTTTCTGATCACTAGTAAAGTAATGCTCTTTTTCTGACATTACAGCCCATTTGCATTTCTTCTATGAATTGCTTATTTGTGTTCCTTGCCCATTTTTCTAGTGGGTTGTCTGTCTTTTTCTTATTAATTTATAGAAGATCTTCATAGTTCAGCTATATAATTCTTTGCTATATGTGTTACTAATTTTCTCCCAGCCTGTTGTTTATCTTTTTTGCCTTTTTTACCTTATTTACAATGTCTTTCATTGTATATAAATTGTGTGTATATGTTTTAACTTAAAATTTTTCTAATTAAAAATTTTTCTTTCTTTTCATAAGAGATTTGAGTATCGCTGTTTTCCCAGGCTGGCCTTGAACTTCTGGGCTCAAGCCATCCTCCTTGCCTCAGCCTCCTGAATAATGTGCCATTGGGCCCAGTTTGTTTTAACTTTTATACAGCCATGTAGTTTGCTGTTTTGTCTCTCTAATCCATCTGCAATTTTTTCCAGCTTTATTGAGGTATAATTGACAAATAAAAATTATATATATTTGGCCAGGCGCAGTGGCTCACGCCTGTAATCCTAGCACTTTCAGAGTCCAAGGCAGGAGGATCACTTGAGCTCAGGAGTTTGAGACCAGCCTGAGCAAGAGCCAGACCATGTCTCCACTAAAAATAGAAAAATTATCCGGGTGTTGGTTCCCAAGCCTGTAGTCTGTTACTCGGAAGACTAAGGCAGGAGGATCACTTGAGCCCAGGAGTTTGAGGTTGCAGTGAGCTATGATTGTGCCACTGCACTCTAGCCAGGGCATAGAGCGAGACTCTTATCTCAAAAAAAAAAAAAAAAATTATATATATTTAAGGTGTATAACATGTTATGATATACATACATATCTGCAATTAATTTTGTGTATGATGTGAGGGAGTATGCTCACTTTTTTCCCAGACAGACAATTTTTTCTACTGCATATAGTGGATGGCCAATCCTTTTCCCAGTGCTTCCAAATGCCACACTTATTAAAAATTAAATTCCTACTTATCCATAAATTTGTTTCTAAGCTCTTTATCTGTACCAAAACCAAAGAATTTTAATTACCATGACATTACAGTATAATTTTAGAACTCTTTCAATTTCAATAACAGAAACCCAGCTCAAATTATGAAATGTATTGCTGTGAAACTAGGATGTTCAAAGGCAGATCTGTTTTCAGGCTGGATTGTATCCAGGGGCTCAGAGAATGTCATCAGATTGTATTTCTTCATCTGTCAGACAGATTCTTTCCATCTTGTGGGCACTATACACATTCAAAGCCCTGGGCACACCCTGATAGCTTAGTAACCCCAGGAAAAGAGGCCATCTTTCTGGAGAGTTTTAGCAGAAAACTTCTGAGTTGGTCTCAGATCAACCTAATTTGGACTACATGTACATCCCTTCAACCAAAGATGTGGGGCTCCTCTGATTGGCCAGGTCTATATCACATACCAGCCTTATTGTGAAATTGAGGTCAGCCCTACTTCAACCTCAAGGAATGGTTTCCT